TATATGTATATGTATATATATATATATGTGTATAAATATATGTGTATATATATATATATGTGTATATATATGTATATGTATATATATGTGTATATATATGTATATGTATATATGTGTGTGTATATATGTATATATATATGTGTATATATATGTGTATGTATGTACACACACACACACACACACACACACACACACATACATACAATCACAGATGCACACACACAAGAACAAATTATTACATTTTAATTTTAAAAAAAATGTCCACCCAGCCTCCTACCTGGAGTGCTGGCGTGGACTTTTCCCTGGGGTCCAGTGGGGCGGGCGCCTCTCTGCAGCTCAGCCGTGGCGAGGGAGCTGTCTGCTCCCTCTCGCCGCGCGGGCTGTCTGCTGTAGCTGGGAGCCGGAATATGACGTCATATTCCGGCTCCCGGCATCAGCGCACGGCGAGAGGGAGCAGAGAGCAGACAACTCCCTCGCCGTGGCTGAGCTGCAGAGAAGGGGGGGGGATCCATCATCTCTTGCCCTCCCCATGACAGGGGCAAGAGGTGAAACAGGGGGCACTGAGTGCCTGCAGGAACAGCGTTACTGCTCAAAAAAAGTACAGGAACACTGTTCCTGCAGGACTCAAACCATAGGCGTGCCACGGGGATTAGGGTGTGCCCAGGCACACCCGGCACACCCCATGCGCACGCCTATGTAGGTCAGCAACCTACAAAATGTGTGCCATGCCATACACTGTATAGATCTAAGGATTTCCTTTAGAGCTGGTCTGACAGAGATTGTAGTAGGGCTTCTTTAGATATCTGCTGGGCACAATTGCAGCAGGGAGTAAGAGGAATCTCTCAATTCACTTGTGGTGGTGGTGGTGGTGATTACCTATAGTATAATTCCTGTAACTTGTAATAATATACTCACCATAACCTGTTCCCTAGTACTGAGCACTCATGTGAGCAAAATCTACAACATATAAGAAAGGATAATAATCTTGTTTGTCTTGTATAACTACTAGCATCCTCCTGTTTACTTCTAGAACATAAGCAGTCTAACCCTGGCAAGCTATTAAGTACTGACTACATGACCAAGCTGGAAGTTGTTTTAGTTTACACTTTAAACGTGTACCACTCTTGCTTCCTACAAAAAAGAAAATGTGCGCAGTTATGCCAATATGCCTTTACTGTTAACCTCATTGTTTACTCTTATCTCGCTTTTGCTGTTGTGGCATAGCGAAAATGCTTGTTACCCTCATGCACGTCTAAAATAAAGAATTAAAAATAAAAAATAACAATTTTGAAGGCTAGATATATCATTGGTAGGATTTTTCCTTAAACCTTTTAAAATGATCCAGGAATGGCAAAATGTATTGAGAAAATTTTACTTTTCTGGAAGACCAGTTCACTTTGAATCTAAGTGCATTTTCATATTCGGTCACTAGAGGTCATAACAATAAAGCGCATTGTGTAATTATAGTATTCCCAAAATACAATTCAGTGGTTACTTGATGGAAACACACTGAAGATAACTGAAAATTCAGATTAGGGACTTTGTTTTCTGGGAAAGAAGTGAGATGGATGGATGGATAGATAGATATATGTAATATACAACATCCAGCACACTCTCTTATTCACTAAATGACAATTTCAAGTTTTATAGACTGTAATAGTTTTTTGTTTTTTAAAATACCTCACCTGAATTGACTCTGAGTCATATTCAGAGATTTTTTTTCTTGCCCAGTAAAAACGAAAGCAATCTCCAAGCAAAAAATTATATATATATAAAAAAAAAGTGTATTGGCCAAACCAATTTTAACCAGAGAGAACCATACCCTCCTCTAACATCACACTGCTTCCAGAGAGTTGTGAATATAGTGCCTTTACCTATCCCTTTCCCTTAACGTTGAGATTGAGGATGAAATTTAATTTGGTGTTCAGAGGATGATCTGTTCAGTGGATCTCCTTTTCCCTTCACCTGATCTTTGATGAATGTGGAGTTAATAATGTAGCACATGAGTGGGTATAGCTGCCAGTGTCTACACCCCCATTAATTAATTAGTTTAATAGGGACCAAACATTATTTTGCACTATGACTATTCCCTTTGGATGACTGGTTAAAATATAATTCCAATGGATCTCCGATCCACCATAAAGAAGTCTGTTGCTCTGTACAGTTACTTACCAGGAAATGCATAATCATGTAAAGAATGACTGGCTCCCCTACATATACTTCATTGTGGGGGAGCAGCAACATTTTGACTCCATGGTTAACACAAGTAGTATATGTATGGAAAAGGTACTTGAGGTAAATAGGGAGCAATGTACATAATGTACACTATAATTTTAGTAAAAAGAAAAAAGGATGTTAAAGATATAAAGGAAACCATTACAAATTCAAAATGTATTCTATCCTTAAATTATTGTCATCCACAAATTTTCTAGTACAAACTTTGACCATTTGTGAGTTTTAATTTTCTGCCACTAGAGGTCATAACAATCATATATTTTCC